CTTACGAGTTTAATTCATTCCGAGACCGAGCCCGTTAAGGAGCTCATTAACTCAAATTACTCTATCAACTCAATGCAAAAAATCGGCCAAGAGACAGCTGGTATCTCAAAAAACTCGTTAGTCGGGACACTCGTAATTTAAGGCCCCACTGTACTTCCATCTTTTCAGCTCCCTCAAAATCCCTAGCTTCCATTCTAGCGATTCCTGTCTCACTCAGATTTTCTCAAAATAATAATAAAAGAAAAGAATACTAAGCATATTATTGGTGAAAATCTATTCTTTTTAACAAATACAGAGAAATAATAAAGAAATAATCTTTATATTCATGATTATCTGCAATTTGCTTATGAATGTGAAAGAATGACTACGGGGTTTTTACCTCCCAACTTTATTTAAAGTCAAAATTATGTATTGTTTGAGATAACCCTGTATTACCTTATTATTGAAGAACAGATTGGAACTATAGGAATGTATTAGTTGCAAACTATTAGGAAGTAAGCAGTTATTTCAAGGAGATAAAGGGACTAAGCGCATCTATCTACACTATCTGGAGATGCCAGTAATCATCCACAACCTTCAATTTTTATTTAGTGTACTTTGATTATTCCTCATTTTCATGTTTGAGCTTAGAAAAGATATGCTAGTCAATTACTTTGAGAGTGTTTTCTTCTTCAAATATATTTTGAAAAATCATCTACCAGTTTCTTAACAACTTGGCTCCTTGGCAAGGTTATAGGTATATATCCTTTTCAATCTAACTGACCATTCCCATATCTTCAGACAGAAAAGCAAGAGGTGGTGTTTTAGCAGCTCAGCTATGAGCATTAATCGAAGACAATATACTTGAGGTCTAAGGATGGTGTACCTGTCTTTAATATCACCCAGGTTCAGAGATCTCTGGCCAAGAACCCCAGAAGGTGCTACCATGTGAAGGAGGATGGGGGGAAAATAAAGTAGAATGTATCTAAAAGAAGCAGGCTTAAGGAAAGAAGTCATGAAAAGTATACTGGTGTTACACAGGCCTTCAGTAATCAAGAAAATGACAAGCCTTGGTTTGTGTGTGAAGTGGATGAAGGGAGTAAGTGACTAGAAAGTCCTAAAACAAAACGAAACAAAACAAAACAAAAACACCCATCATAAAACAGCTTTATTGTGAGTTCTTATTAAAAGAAACAAAATCTGAATGAAATGAGAAGTCACTCATACCTCATGTGATATTTGGATTATGTAAAGAAAATAACTGGCCTGGCATATCCATTGCTCTCTGGCTTGAATTCAGCCTGGGTCTGAGACTTTGGGCTGATACTATATATTGTGTCAACATATATGTATGAAATCGGTTTTAATCATAGCACTACAGTGAAAATTGAGTGTGTAATAGCATATGTTCGCATAAATTTAAAAAGTGTACAATAAATATTAAGTATTTTATTTACTTTGGATATTAAAAAATTATCAACCTATTGACTTACAACAGCAAATATGTATATTTATTTGTTCATGTAGCCAACCCTTTAATTTAGTAATCAAATTCTATCATGTGATATCATCTGAATCATATTTCAATAGTTAAGAACCCCACAAAATGTTTCTCAAATACAGCCAGTTTCAATGTAGGAAAGTAACTAACACTTGAGTCATCAATAACAATTTCATATGATTTCTCAATTTGTCAAAGTGGTTAAGGTTCAGATTAGGAAAATTAGCATTACGAAGTTCTATGGAGAGAGAGGAATAATGTTGAATGTTGACTGGGGATGATAACATTTTAGCCTCAGAGAAACTGAATAATTCTAAGTGAAAGTTAAGAGAACTTATGATCTTTTCATTCTTAAGTCTCTGAGGAATCATGGAAGCAGTCAAGGTATAAGTTAGCATATACCAATCTTTTATATTCCATTCAGTACATGCTGGAATCGTTTAAATGCTAAAATATTGGTATGATTCTTCTGATACATAATCTCCATCAGCCCCTCAACTTGTGTCTGACCATCATTGTTTAGTGAAATTAATTCAATACTCTGACCTCTCCATTCTTGGTAGAAAACTGTACTCATAAAATGATAATAATTTCATGTATATATTAATGAAACAATTTCACTAAAAAAAAAAAACAGAGCACATGTAGCTCACTGTTTAATAGGGATTTTTATGGTTTAGTTCATTTTAAAACTGTGGCGATGACTTTCAACATTAAATTATAATTTTAATTACAGGTAAAATAAACTAAGGATTTAAATCCAAATTGACATATTTTCAATAAGATCGCAGTTCTAACTCGTTTCATCTTGAAATAATTTACCCATATTTAAGTAGAATTTAACTTAAGCAAAATGTTTTCCACTATAAATGTCTTTATGTAACTTCCTTCATTACTATTAGGTCCTAATTCAGGCTCATTATCATAAATGGCAGGAGGCTATCAAAGACCCACACTCTCCATAATCATCACATGAGATAAAGGAATTCAGAATGCAAGCCCTTATCACAATCTACATTTTGTGTAGTAAGATATATTCAATTTCTAGGATCAAATTTATCAAGGATATATATTTTATGCATTGATTTTTGCACAATTTACTTTCAGTTACAAACATTTTTTCTGAAATATAAAATAAAAAGGGGGAATAAAAACTCCAAGAGAACAATTTTTGGAAGTATAAAGAATTATTAATACGGTACTATTATCTTTTGCCTGTTTGTTTTCTGAAGGGGTTGAAAATGGTTTTTGTTTTTTTCCTTCTCATTTTATTGACATTAAAACTGTTAAAGGAGCCAAAACCGGTTTGGCTCGGTGGATAGAGCGTCGGCCTGTGGACTGAGGGGTCCCAGGTTCGATTCTGGTTAAGGGCATGTGCCTTGGTTGCGGGCACATCCCCGGTGGGGGGTGTGTGGGAGGCAGCTGGTCAATGTTTCTGACTCTCTGTCCCTCTCCCTTCCTCTCTGTTGGAAAATCAATAAAATATATTAAAAAAAACCTGTTAAAGTAAGTAAAAAGCAACTATGATAAAAGTCTGAAGAGCCGTTTCCAAATCTTAGCTATGGTAAGCCAGTCAGAGAAAGCTAAATATCACATGATCTCACTCATTTGTGGTGTATAATGAACAACATAAACTGATGAACAAAAACAGATTCAGAGACAGAGAAGCATCTATCAGACCATCAAACCTCAGAGGGAAGGTAGGGGAGGGCGTGGGTAAGGGGGAGAGGTCAACCAAAGGAGTTGTATGCATGCATATAAGGGTAACCAATGGACACAGACACCAGGAGGGTGAGAGCATGAGTGGGGGATTTGGGGGGATAATGGGGGGGTAAGGATGCATAGGTAATACCTTAATCAATAAAGAAAAAGAAAGTCTGAAGAGCTAAATCAGATCTCAGAGAACCATGCTAATAAAAAATCAAAGAAGCTGTAACAATGCCATATGGAAATGAGGCTTTTAGTATTTCATTAACAATGCTTTACAGAAATAGATGTCTTTAGTACTGATTGAGAAGTTTTCTTTTTTTTAATCTGAAATGTGTTATACCCTAAAGGCAAAAGCACAAAAGAAAAAAAAATTCTACTTTTATATGGAATCAGTACATTAAAATATAAATATGAATTTTAATATTATTCAAATCAATTGCATTGAATAAAAGATTGATCCTCAAAATGTAAATAATTAATATAAAGTAAAATGAAATAGCACTTCAATAATCAACATAAAAATGATTAATGAGATATTTACATGTTTCCTTTTTTTATCTTCAAACCCTAGTATACATTTTGCACCTATAACACATCTCAATTCAGACTAGCTGTAGTTTCCAGTGCTGAATACCCACCTGTTGCTAGTGGCTACCTATTGGACAGTATAGTTCTAGAAGATGTCATTACTGGTACTCTTACATTATTACTGGAATTTAGAGAATATCTCATTAATATCCAGCAGAATAAATAAATGTCCACATAAATATATGCTCAATATGGTATTAATTTCTTATTGAGTCCAATTTTCTTTTATTATAGGCCTTTTCTTCTTTTATTTCTACTAAATATCAATCATAATCTTTCTTAAATAAAAGAGTTCCTTAATAGAGCCTTCTTATTAGTCAAATATAAGATTTAATAGCGTTATGGGCCACATACTTATGATAATTTCCAAAAAAATGTCATGTAGCAAATATATTGAACTCAATCTTGCATTATCTGTTGCTGCACTTATATTTCACTATTGTGTATTAGCAGAGTATTTCTGTATTTTAAAAAGTATATTCTCTATTAATATGTAAACTTTATTATCTATATATTACAATCACAAATATGTGCCTTTGTTAGAGAGTAAGCTTTTGTTCATTTCAGAAATATACCAGCTCATTTAATAATTCCAGATCATAAATATCACTCCAAGGGATTTCTGATGGAATCTAGTATAGGACTCAGTGGCAGAACTCAAATCAACACTGCTTTTAAATATTCTACATTTCATTGGAAAAGTAATTATCTATGTCTAAGTCACATATTCAAGTCAAGTGAGAGAGGCCTACTTTAAACCCACCAGACACCCAGCAATTTGAATAATAATTATGATTTTTAAATGTGGAAGCTCATGTTTTAAGAAGAAAATGCTATAATGACCTATTTAAGACTGGATATAGTGTCAAGAGCAATTCAAATGAATGAAGAAGCTATAGACAAAAGCTTTCCTAAGTGTTATAGAAGCATAAATTCATTTTAGAAAGCAGATGGAAAATACTTGCAAACAGTGGCTTATTTTTCTAATTATAAAGATAAATATATTTTAACAATTTGGGATTTGGTTGCTTCTCTTATTTATGAAAAAATAGCACTGCTACTTTGATTTGTAGACAAAATAATTTAAAAAGAAAAAAGCCCACTGAAATTTAATTAAATCATTGTGGTAGGTAGTCTTCAGTACTGATCAGATTATAGAAATCATCATTTTAAAAAAATCACAATTACACCACTTACCCAACTTTTTGCTTCTATCTTTCCTCTCCTGGTAAAACTGTTAGGTGTTTAAAGGGAGAGAGAACAAGACATGTAAAGCTGCAGCAAAAGGTACAAGGATACAGTCCCTTCCTGGAAAGAGGATTTTGTGGCGAACCATTTCTCCCATAATGCATCCCACAGACCATATATCCACTAGAACAGGAGAGAGGGAAGTGAAGAAAAGGGAGGAAAGTAAAGTTAACTAAGATAACTGATCTCTGAAGGAGGAGGAAAAAGAACAGTTGATTAGAAGGTACAATTTTTGTTTCCCACCAAACGTTGACTAAAAAGGTGAATTTAAACCAGCACTATAATATTACATAATCAATGTCTAGTATGAGGGCTCAATTTAATTTTTGAAAATTACTTTATGGGTGCCTCTTTAAAAAGTGCCAGGAAATGGTGACATGGAAAAGCAGCAACTAACCAAAAGTATCTTCAACCTGGGAAGTGGCTGTTTCCATTTTCTATCCTGTTCAGTTACACGGAATACTTTTTTTGGTGTTTTTTTTTTTTTTTGGTACGTGCAACCCAATCCAAGAAACTAGGAAATGGCCAAAACCATAGTTTTGAGGCAGAAGTATTTGAATCCCTGGTTTTCAGACTTAGTTTTTTCCTTCATAAATAATTCTTATAAATAAGTATCAGTTTTCATTTCTACTTGAAATTTTTTTAAAAAACATAACATTAATTAGCACATGTTTAATAGAATCATCTGAAAGTAAAGTGAAAAGAGATATTAAAGGTGTTTTAAAAATTGTTATATGCATATATTTATCATACTTGTTAACCAAACATGCTTCACCTTCTCTTTCCAGTCTTTCTCCTCTTCCAACCAGCTTTTTAGTAAGGACACAGGGAACTTGGAGGCAAAAACATTAGGCTGAAACACCCGTTGGGGAAGGAAGGCAGGGTTAGGTGCACGGGTTAGCTGGGCATGCCTGATGTCGCAAGCAGGTTTTTCTGCATGATAACATTCCTCCCATACATAAGTGGCAGAACAGCACAGGTGCTAGGTATGGTTTCTGCACGGATCTAGAGATGCCAAAAAAAAGCCCCTAAGGCAATAACTTGCAACCCTTTCTAGAGAGGAAAGGAGAAGGGATGAGATATGCACCATTTGTGCAGCAAAGCTCTGAAAAGCCATAACAGGCAAATTCAGACCTCCCCCAGCCTCTGTAGATCCTTGATTTCTTGGCGTTATAAATTGATTTACCTTTGATTTAAAAAAAAATAACTTGGGAAGAATGTATACAAATACCTGTTTTTCCCAAATAATTTAGACTAGATTTGCCTGTTCCAAGTCAAAAGGTAACAGATTTTTTCCATTGTCCACCAAAGTGAACCTGACCTTCCTGGGGGCTGACTTTTTCTCTTCTATACAAATGCACAAAAGTATTGGCTTTCCTCTAATCTGGAAGTACACAAAATTTTTTTTAAACTTTGATAACCCCAAAATTTTCATAAAGGTACCTAACCTATAGCACCTGCACATAAAAATACAATGGTAATTATTTTTATAGAACTTATTAAAATGGATGGCTAGGACTAAATAAAATAGAGTATTACATAAATATGAAAGGTACTGAGTACATATAAAAATTGTAATTTAAAACTATTTTAATTCCTAAGTATATTAGATGTTATTTTTAATATGCTATATTATTTGTTAGAAATTCTTTTCAAAATAATATATTGCGATACTTTCTGATAAGTACTAATAAATCCTTCATTTTAATCAATAAAAACATATTGGAATACATTTTGAAGATTCTACCCTTTCTTTTAAAGTGTTCATGACTACAAGATTTCTTTTAGGAAAGCAGTAGTATAAAATATTTTTCTCTTTCTATGGTTTTTGGAATTTATAAAAAATTTACCAGGCAACTGCTACCCTAAATATTACATACAGATCATTTTAAAGCAATAAAGAAACTCTTATCCAACTTGAACAATCTGGATTATTTTAAATCAGGTATTCATTGTGCATTTGTAAAGATTCTCACTCCAAAGACGTGTGGTGTATTTTTGTTTGCCTTTCCCTAGGACTAGAGCCATCTCTCTAATATATGACATAAAGCCAAATGGTTAAATATAATAGATTTATTCCTGTTTCCTCACTCACTTTGAGCTGATCTGCAACTCAAATAGCATTTTTTCCTCAGTACCTATAGCATGTGTGCTCAGTAGTATCCATTTCACTGTTTAGTGGGACAAAGAAGAAAACGCATGTAAGAAAAGGGAGCAGCTATAACATTTTAGTGCTCTTCTAGCAAAGCTTACTTCTTGGAGGCATCCTACATATTTTTAATGAGTGAGTTTTCTTAGTGGTATGGTTTTTAAAAAACAAACCAAAAAACCCTCTGAATACAAAAGCTGGCAGCCCTATTAAAAATAATATTTATATACAAGAGAATATTATTCTTGGCTATCTGAAACATGTACTCATTTTCTTCACAGTCTCCATGGCTGTGAGTCAGAAGCATCCCTACCGTTCTCCTTGTAGCCCATTCCCAGGATGACCTCAGGGGCTCTGTAATAACGCGTCACCACGTAAGGAGTCATCATGAAGCTCGTGCCTGCGGTCCTGGCCAGTCCAAAGTCGAGGATTTTCAATGTACAATCAGACTTGACTACAATGTTACTTGGTTTTAAATCCTGACAATAGGAACAAGAGAAGGAATGAAAAGCCAGCATCATGTGGAACCTGTGTTTTTCATTTACTTACTTAATCAACATGGTAGTCCTAGTCCTGCAGTAGCACTGGTGGCCCCCTCCCCTTACTGCAGAGCCCTGCATAATGCAAATAATTGTTGTCCCAAAGGAGTTTACAATGAGTTTTCGGATTTTTTGTAATAACCTCAGGAACTTTGTTAAACCCAGAAGAGAATTGTACTATCGTCTTTACAATTTAGGCTCATATTGAAAAACGTTTTTAGAGGGGGGCGGGATTTATTGTCATCTGTTAGCTTTCTCCTTGTGACAATATAAACCTTTCAGCTTATATTTCATGTCTAGGCCTGACAGAAGAGCAGATAGGGGCAGTTGTCTATTCTGTCAGAAACTAACTGAGTTAAATGAACTGTCTTATTTCAACTTCACATGCGACCTCTGCCAATCACGGGCTAGAAGACATGAGGCTTTTCAGAAGCTGACTCTCAATGAGCTGAAACAAAAGGTTAAACAACATCAACTACAGTACAGCTTAAGTTTCCTTCTGAACACTAGTGAATTATGTGCTAATTCTAACATTAAAGAAATGAGGAAGGACAATCTACTTAAGCTAGTCCCCTACATAAAGAAAATCATCTACAGTTAGTTTCTCTTCCCTAAAACATCTTCATTATATTTCTGTAGTAGGTGCTCTTACCCTGTGAATAATTCCAGCAGAGTGAAGGTGCTTGATGCCACACAACATTTGGTATAGAAGGTAAGACATTCGTTCATGGTCTAATTCCATCTGAATCACCTGACACAAGTTGGCATCCATCAGTTCCATTACTAAGTAACTGGAAGGGTAAATCCACAGTTTAGTTCCAGATCATCTGTTTAGTCCTTCAAATACATCAGAATCCTCTCCTAAATCTGTATGTCTTTCTAACGCCCCAGCTCCACATTTGACTGAATGGAGAATATGAAATATTTCTGTCTTGCACGCATGCAACTCATGGTAACTCTACCACATGTTGCTAATAGAATTTATTAGTGTGTGGTTCCTGCTCATATATTTCCTACTTTTCCCTGAATTTTCTGAAACTCTTTCAAAATTTCAAAATAGCATCTTCCACTAAATGCAGTGCATCTGTATCACACAGATAAGGTGCTGTGATTGACTCTCTCTCCTCTGCTTGTCATCACTGCACTTCTAGGTAGATTCTTTTTACACAAAATCAAAGGCACCATAAAAATAAATATTACAGATAATTATTATCGGATGTCTCTTTAGTATTTTTCAAAGGGAATTAACTCATTCTAAATAACTCACGGAATCAGCAATAACAAAAAACACATAATAAATAACATATCTTCTCCAACTGAAACAAGAACATGGAACAACAAAGCACAGAGAACCAGAAATAACACCAGAAACAGAACCTCTGTCCTGTCCCTAGATTCCTTTCATTTGCTGCCAGCTTTCATTTCCCTTTGATCTCTACAAGGGAGTTCATCTATTTTATTTTTGTCAATTTCCCTTGAGTTACTAGAGTGCTATGCTCTCCCTTCCTTCATGAGTTTTATTACTTACACATCTTGGAACTCCTCCAGCGTTTTCTGGGGTGTGAAGACATTTAGTAAACTAATAATCTGGAAAAGAGATAGTGGAAAGGACAGAAGAAAGAGTTAAAGAGAAAAGGGAGAGAATGAGTTATTTTAAAAGCATATTTAGACTAACATTTTTTCCAACTCAAAGTCACACTCTAGCGCTATGATGGAAACAGAAAAGTTGGAAAAAATTCTAGAACTGTCTCACAGAACATGGAAAAATATACTCAGAAAGGACATATGGTTTGTCTTCAGGTTTAAATACAATTAAAAAGCTGAAATTCTTAGGCAAAAGAAAGAGTCAGAGAAGATACGTAATTGTGATACTGCATTAGAGTATGGTTCTACCTGGTAGAATACAAGGTCATTAAACAAAGAAGGAAAAGCATGTAAGAAAAGAGAGCAGCAGTGAAACACCCAACGAGACTTAGCAAGGCCATGTTTTTCCTCTAAGTGAGCTGGGTGGTGTTCCAGTTAAAGGTGGTGCTCTATTTCAAGATGATACTCTAATTCAAGGTGAACCTCTAATTCAAGATGATGCTCTAATTCAAGGTGAACCTCTAATTCAAGATTTTTTTTTATTGTTAATTTAGTTTCTTTTGCTTCTAGTTCACACTCAAATATTATTTAAACTAATGTTCCAATAGTATGCGTGGGGGAAAATGAATTTAGTAGAAAATGGGAAGAAGTTATCAAAAGTTTATTTACTAGTATTAAACTTATTGTCTACTGCTTTGTGCTATATATTTGATAGTAAAGAATGTTACCTTCTAGTATAAGTAAATTTAAAAAATCTCCTTTGTCATATTTCCAAATAGATTGCATACACAAATAACTGAAATGTTCTTTCTGCTAAAAATTCTGTACTAATGTGCCAACAGAAAATAAAAAATTAAAAATATAGATAACTATCTTCTACTCACAGTATAGATGCAACCATTTCACAAAAATTTGATAAGTACAAGTTTAAGATTTATACAACTTTAAAACATGAATTAATAAAATCATTAACTGGTACAGAAACATATGAAGTAATAAAAATAAAACAATCATTTTAAACATCTAAGAAAAGCAATCAATTCTAAAGAATGCTTTTAGGCATTAAGTAGTTTTCATTTGTTGAGGAATTATTAAGAAAAATATTATAACATCATCCATTATTTTCATATATATGTCAATGGTTATAATATACCAAAAACCCAAGATCATCTCTACTAAAGCAACCTTACAGTATGGAATATTCATAAAGAATAAAATCATTTCAACTATCATTAAAGCTTGTTAGTAAAGTACCTTGTCATTCTATATACTTAGTTATAGTCTGTGTTGAAAAATGTCAATTTAGTACATCTCTCATTGGAACATATTTATAGTGGGTCTGGTTTTCTAGTATTTTATCAGTATTGGAATGTAATTCATTTTGACATTTTCAAACAAAAACACCAGAAACTAGGTGTAAGACACATATAAATACAACATAATACATACAAATAACCCATATCAAGATTTATTATTTTGAAAGGTAAATTTCACACCATTATCTATTCTTATTTTTTATTTCCCTATGCCCTTTTAAAAAATAAAAATAAAATAAAATAATTACTTTCAACTTCTTTGAGAATTTATCCTCTTTCTTTTTTGCTCCTTTATGAATTCTAATCCTACTAATAAGAACTTAAAGTTTTGTCTTTAGAAGCAGATCATCACAGATATTTCCATTTTAGTTGAACAATGTCCAGGCAGGAGTCTGATTCAGCTCCTCTATTCCAGTATCTTAAAGTGCACAGCGATGAATCAGTGTTTGTCCTGGCCTCACAGTCACACTGGCTACCAATTCCTAGAATTAAGTATTTGCTTTCTAAATGGATGCTCTTCTCTGTTATTAAATTTTTATTTAGAATTACTTCACTGTTTCACTTTACTTTCCACAGCATTAACAGAGTTCTGCATTCTGACTGCTTTTACTTAATATTGCAAGTTCTGAAGCGAAATTTACACTTGATTGTAAGTGAACTTTTTCTCTGTTAGCAAGTTCCAGAATTTATTTCCATGAACTTTTATACATGCAGGCATGCATACATACATACATACATACATACACACACAAAAGGTGGTAACAGGTAGGATGCCATTTACAAATTATCATTTCAATTTGGAACTTCTTTTTAGATATCATAAATGTGAACCTCCATATTTCACATAAATGTGAACTTCCCCATCAAGAATGAGGAGTATGATTCCCAAGTAAGTGGAAATTTCTTTGCAATGCATTTATTGTATATAAGGTCAGGAAGGAGGACTAGGAAAATATAAACATATGAAAACACAAACTGTCAAACTTTTCCACACAGTTGCTTCATTACCAGTATCGATCCTACTTCCATTGCCTATGGTATTTCTCATGCTCTTTGCTTTCATAAAAATAGATTGCATAGGTCATGTGGTTTTCTTGCTCTGTCTTTACTTGACATACTGAAAGAACAAATTGCTTTAGTAGATTGACTTTTCTTAGGAATTATCTTTTCCGTCATTTCTATGTTCCTTTCTAGAAGCACCATATTCCTTGCATAGCCAGATTAAAGATGCGTACCTACTTCATAATATTTCCTTTTCTCAGACAGGTGTTTCTTGCTCAGCCTATTTTAAAAAGTAACTCTACTCCACCCCAAATTCACCAGATTTTTATCTTCCTTCTTTGCTTTCTTTTATTTAATAGTACTTATCACCATTTGCCATTCCACACTTTTACCCACTTTTACCCAGTTTGGTAGACTGCCTTTCTGCTATTAGAACATGAGCTCCACGTGGGCAGGACTCCATCTCTGCTATCTTCACTGCTCTATTCTTAGTACTCAGAATATCTAGATCTATATGTGGCACATTTTATTCATTCAACAAATATTTGTCAAATGACTAAACTAAAAAGTCATGGGAACAGTGTAATAGAGGAAAAGAGAAACAATGCCATTGAGCCTGAATCCACATATTTGTATTTCAAATATCCTTTGAATAAACACTCATATATTTGCTTCTTCTTATTGCCATTGATAGATGTGCCTTATGACAAATTCACTTATTTTTAAACTTACATTGATAATCCTATATAATAAAAGCCTAATATGCAAATTGGCCAAAAGGTGGAACGACCAGTTGCCATGATGCACACTGACCACCAGGGAGCAGACACACAACACAGGATCTGCCTCAGCCTGCAGACCCCAGGCCAGCCAAGGCGGGTCCCAGTGGGGGCCCCCTGATCGCCCCACTGGTCGCCCCACCGAGGGAGGTGACCGGCGGCTGTGGCAGGGTGATTGGGGATGGGGTCAGTGAGTGGGCAGCGCCGGGCTGGCCATGGTGAGTGCCAGCGGGGGAGCCCCCCAATTGTCCTGCCAGTCGTCCCACAGATCAGCCCTGATCGCCGGCCAGGCCTATGGATTCTTCCCATGCACAAATTTCATGCATTGGGCCTCTAGTTTCATATATTCTGTGTGATTTTCTTAAGAAAAACTTTGTAGGGAGTTATAATAGTAACTGTTTATACAGTAGTATTATAATAATCTATAATATAACCAGAGGCCCAGTGCACGAATTTGTGCACGGGTGGAGTCCCTCCACCTGGCTGGTGATCGGGGCCAATCAGGGCTGTCTTGCCCAGTCCTGATTGGGGTTGATCAAGGCCGGTGGCTGGGGAGGAACTGCAGAAGGGACCACGGGAGGGCTCCAGGGCATGCCCATCCCTGTATTGCCCAGTCCCGATGGGCCAGACCCCAGCAGGAAGCTAACCTACCAGTCAGAGTATCTGCTTCCTGGTGGTCAGTGAACATGATAGCAATTGGTCAACCAGTTGGCTGTCTGCCCCTGGTGGTCAGTGCATATCATAGCAACTGGTCAACTGTCTATCCCCTGGTGATCAGTGTATGTCATAGCAAGTGTTATCACCAGCCAAGCCTAGGGACCCTACCCATGCACGAATTTTGTGCTCTGGGCCTCTAGCTATTATATATTTATATGTACTATATTTATTATATATTTTATTTCTTAATAATAGTCATTATTACAACAATGAATTATCTCCTATTTATCCTTACTAAGAAGAATGAAAACATAGAAAGAATTCTAGTGGCCTTTGCCTGTAGTTGAAGAAGCTTATACTTGGAAGTGAAGAAAGTCCCATAATGGTTGAACCCTGCTGAGTTCCAATGAGAAATGTTCTTGATGATCCTGTTCTAAAGTGCTTTGCAAATATCCCCCTGCCCGGCTGTGCAGCCCTACAAAAACAAGTTGCCAAAGCACAGCATGTGCACTGAACAGGTGGAGGCCACTGCCAGACTATATGTAAAAGAAAAGGGAGATACAAATCTTCATCTGTTAATAATTAAATTGAAATTGTAAAGAAACATAGCATATTGTTCTATAGGATATTTTTGTTTTTGTTTGCTTTTATTTTGGAGAAGAATGGACTTCTCCGCTTATTTTGGAGCACAATAACCAAATATGGTTAATTTCATAACAGGGAAATATCCACCGAATTTATCCCCTCCATGCCATATGGTTTTTAGATGATTTTTTAAGCAGAAAGCTACCATGAGGACAATGAAATTAAATGTAGCATATGGACAGGATAAACAACCTTGAAGATAAATTGCAAAGTAAAGAAAGCTTTTCCTACTCAAGTTGGCATACTAATTTTCTTTCCCCGATCTCACAACCTCCCACTACCAGAGCTTTAAAAATAACCACTCACGTTTTTATGGTTCACACATTTCATGAGGACCAGTTCCCGGTAAGCTCTCTTGGCATGCGTTTGGTTCTGAAAGGGTCTGCTGAGCTTCTTAATGGCCACATTTCTGTCAAGGACAGCATCATATGCAGCACTGCAAAGATCCAAGAATAATCCAGGATTAAAAACAAAAGAGTCTTTAGAATTCCTGCCTACAAAACTAAGGATATGGGATATATCCTTATTATAATACTACTCAGATACTCTCTCTTCACATCACAGATCAACAAGGCTATGAACAAAGATATAGAAGCATGGAACAGACGGTTGAATCTCGGAGGGAAGGTGAGGGTGGGTGGGAAGAGACCAACCAAAGAAAAAAAATATATATATATATATCCCATGGACATAAACAATAGGGTGATGTAGGCCTGGGGTGGGCAGGCAGGGGTGGCGGGGAAAGGGCTAGAAGGAATTAATGGAGTAAAAAGGGGGACACATGTAAAAAGGGGGATACATGTAAAATAATAAAGATTTTTTTTTAAATAAGAAGATATGAGTGGCCAATATAAAAAAAATTCTACTTGCAAGAATATAAATTTAAAAAAAGAAAGAAAGAAAAGGAATCGTGGTAAGAATACAACATATAATTGCATCAGTGAGTGAGGACAAGAGAAGAAAGATAAGTGCTCAGCTTCCCCCCTAGCCACATGACTGTGTGCGAGTTATTTCATCTCTCTAGGCTTGCAAGTCTCCTCTAGTCTGATGTGATAGTTAGGTTTTCTCAAGGTTCATCATTCTTTGGTTATTTTATGTGGACATTCATGTTTTCCCCATTCAAAGGTACCCGTTGTTAAGGTGTGATGTTGATTGCCATGAAAGCACAGGTTGGTTGAAACTCAAAGTTCTCTCATTAGCTATAACAAAGCTCAAAATAGAGAATGAAATAAGAAAGACAAACAAAAAGGATAACTGTGTTGTAAGATAACGATACACTCACAGGGTAAGGCAGGACAAAGTCTCAGAGTTCCTCTGATCCATGCCTCCATTTAGCACTTATTCCTCTCCAAAATATCTCCATCAAAAGTCTGACCAGTCTCTGCTTGAGCATCTCCAAAATGTAGACATTTGTCTATGAAAATTCCGCAAACACAAATAACTTCCCCAAATTTATCTTTGACAGAAAAACAGTCTTACTGATCTTATTGATCATTCCACTTTTATTTTAGATGCTACCCTCTACAATCAACAGTTATTTATTGAGTTTCTTCTAAGTAGAAGTCACTAAGTTTGGTATTGCAAACAGAAATAAAGATTTGCCCTTTGTCCTTCATGACCCCTGAGTTAGAAATAGCTTCACTGGGCAAACCTTCCCCTTCAGCTTTTATCTCAGGGTGTTGCTCATCTGTGGTTAAACTTCACACATCCTAATCTGTATTATTATAATTTTTTATTGGAGCATACCTTAATCCTATGAACGGCCTGTAAGCTTTTTCATGAGGTAGATCTAGCTCTCAGACTGTTCACAGTAGTTGCTCAATAAACACTTGCTGCCTGGGTTTGTGTTTAATCAAACCACAAATTGCACACCATTGACTCACAGTGAGCGTATGTGAAATGAAAATGTTTTTTTAAAAAAAAAAAAAAAAAAAAAAAAAACAAAAAAACTGTGCTGCTATTTAACTCTGTATGTCAGCACTGGTACTTTTGTTCTTATTTGTTCTTGTTAACTTACCAATGGCAGAATAGGTTAAGAATCAGATGGACCTGCAGCCTATAGGTAGTGCACAAGGACAACAGTGGATTTGGAAATACAGAAATTATAATTTTTTTAATTAAATCTTTATTGTTCAGATTATTACAGTTGTTCCTCTTTTTTCCCCCATCGCTCTCCTCCACCCAGTTCCCACCCCACCCTCTGCCCTTACCCCTCCCACTGTCCTCATCCATAGGTGTACAATGTTTGTCCAGTCTCTTCCTGCACCTCTACACCCCTTTCCCCGAAAGAATTGTCAGTCCACTCCCTTTCTATGCCCCTGGTTCTATTATATTCACCAGTATACTCTGGTTCATCAGATTTTTTATTCACTTGATTTTTAGATTCACTTGTTGATAGATATGTATTTGCTGTTCATAATTTTTATCTTTACCTTTTTCTTCCTCTTCTTAAAGAATACCTTTCAGCATTTCATATAATACTGGTTTGGTGGTGATGAACTCCTTTAGCTTTTTCTTATCTGTGAAGCTCTTTATCTGACCTTCAATTCTGAACGATAGTTTTGCTGGATAAAGTAATCTTGGTTGTAGGTTCTTGCTATTCATCACTTTGAATATTTCTTGCCACTCCCTTCTGGCCTGCATAGTTTCTGTTGAGAATTCAGCTGACAATCGGATGGGTACTCCCTTGTAGGGAACTGACTGTTTTTCTCTTGCTGCTTTTGAGATTCTCTCTTTGTCTTTTGCTCTTGGCATTTTAATTATGATGTGTCTTGGTGTGGTCCTCTTTGGATTCCTTTCGTTTGGGGTTCTCTGTGCATCCTGGACTTATAAGTCTATTTCTTTCACCAGGTAGGGGAAGTTTTCTGTCATTATTTCTTCAAATAGATTTTCAATATCTTGCCCTCTCTCTTCTTCTGGCAACCCTATAATTTGGATGTTGGTGCACTTGAAATTGTCCCAGAGGCTCCTTACACTATCTTCATATTTTTGGATTCTTTTTTCTTTTTCCGGTTGGGTATTTTTTGCTTCTTCGCATTTCGAATCTTTGACTTGATTCTTCTGATCCCCTAGTTTGCTGTTGCATCTCTGTATATTATTCTTTATTTCAGTCAGTGTATGCTTAATTTCTAGTTGGTCTTTTTTCATATCCTCCAGGGTCTCACTAAATTTATCGGCGGTTTCTAGAAAATTCTTGAAAAACCTTATAACCGTGATTTTGAACTCTATATCCAGTAGTTTGTTTTCCTCCATTTCTGTCATTTGTGTCCTGTTTCTTTGTCTCCACATTTTTTATGCTTCCCTGTGTGGGTAGAGTGGCTTTGTGTGCTAGGTGTCCTATAGGGCCCAGTGGTTCAGCCTCCCCAATTAACTGAGGTGGACACTCTTGGTGCACCCCTTTGTGAGCTGTCTGCACAGTCTTGTTGTAGTTAAGCCTTGATTGTTGTAGGTATTACTGGGAGGAATTGACCTCCAGGCCAATTGGCTGTGAGAATCAGCTGTGTCTATGGTGGGAGAACTTCGGTGATGAAGACACCCTTATGGGGCAAGACTTGCTTCAGTGGGGCTTTGGTGCTCACTGAGTCTGTCCCCTGAGTGTGTCCCTTATGGATCTGAGGAGTTGTAATCTGGATGGTCCCCCTCTGACAACTGGGTACACTGGCTCTTGGATCTAAGGAGGTGCTAATTTAGCCTGTGCCTGAGGCTACCCAATAGGAGCTATGAGGAGATCTGCAGATTCCCCTTCCTTGATTGGGGTTTGGAGGTGCCCAGATGAGGCCCAGCTGTGAAGCAATGCAAGCTGCTGTGGG